TCCGGTTTTTTTGAGCCCACCCTATATATTTAGAATAGAATCAGGAAGAAAAGATCTTTCATTTTATCGCATAATATACAGGGTGTTCCATTTAAAAAAATCGAAGTTGTCTACGTTTCTCCATTTGCCGATGCGATTTTGTTTTTTCTGATAGCGTTAAAAGAAAATATAGAAAAAAACTGTCAAGTTTTGTATTTTTTTCTATCTCAAATAATGAAGGTTGTAGGTATGGGCTCAAATACCTATAATCAAATACCCTGTAAGTATGTAAAGTAGCGATCAAAAAAAAGTAGTACAAAAATGTTTAACCTTAATGGACCTATCTATTTTTACCTGGTATGCGCGCGCAACACGAGGCAATGTCTTTTTATTGGCTAGCTAATACAGGTACGGTGATCGTTTTGCACGCTGGGCATCTCTTTATCCTTGTTCATTGCACGTGGTCTGACAAGAGTAAATATAAAGTTGACATTCAACTTGACAAGTGTCATTCAAAAATTGTTTGACATTTTCATTGACAAATACGTTGCACAACACGCAGTTTTTCTCCTTTCCTTTTCATCCTGTGCAAATAAGAAGGACGGATTCCTATACGTAAGTCTAACATAATTTGGTGCGTTTTGCCTCGTCTTGCGCAATGAGCATTCTGTGTCTTTTTTTATTTAATGAAGTTTTCGTATTATTACCTCTTTGTCTGGTAAAATAGATAGGTCTATTTGAGCTCCCGGCAACATACAAAATTTTGACAGTAAATAAACATTTCAAAATATGTTGAGTTCGGGCAATGACATATTCTAGGTTAAAAACGGGTGGAAAATGCCAAAATAATGTCATCTGAAGCTTTCTAGGTTAAAAACTTGTCAAAAAATACCAAAAATATGTCATTTTTGGTTATGAAGTAAATTATTGTATAATAGACCAGGGGATTTTGGAGATCTTTCTTGTACTACTTTTTTTTTATCGCAACTGTACAGGGTGCTGCAATTTGGAGTGTTTCAATAGGAAAAACACACTTCCAGACCAGATAGAGGAAAATTGACTTAAATGTCATGGGATCGATTTTTGTGAAACGTCAATTGTCAAAAACCGTATCACGATATCTTCAATGGTACCATTGATACAGGGTGATTATCGATTTTTCCCTATTATGAAAAATGGCTATAAGTTTTTTATTTATCAATTTTTTTTATTTCTGTAAAAACATTATGGAGACACTTTTTTGAGCACAATCCAGTGGCGGACTCAGTTTTTTTCTATATCGTTCCAACTTCGAGATACCGACCAAATTCCGATATTTTCAAATGAAACACCCTAAATATTAATAGCTCATTGGATAGCTCTGTTATTGCTGATTTCAATGATATAAAGTTCGATAGGTTTTTCTCTAACAGTTTTCGAGAAAAAAAATTATATCTGTTTTTGTCGTAAGGACCAATGTGTTAGAAAAGGATTTTATATGTGTAAAGAAATAGAGGAAGGTCTCTTTCTAACACATTGTTTCTTATGACTGAAACATATAATTTTTTTTCTCTCGAAAACTGTTAGAGATAAACCTATCGAAGTTTATATCATTGAAATCAGTAAAAACAGAGCTATCCAATGAGCTATTAATATATAGGGTGTTTCATTGGAAAGGATCGGAGTTTGGTCGATATTTCGAAATCGGAACAATATAGAAAAAAATTGAGTCCGCCACTGGATTGTGCTCAAAAAAGTGTCTCCATAAAGTTTTTACAGAAATAAAAAAAATTGACAAATAAAAAACTTATAGCCATTTTTCATAATAGGGGAAAATCGAAAATCGCCCTGTATTAATGGTACCATTGAAGATATCGCGATGCGGTTTTTGACATTCGAAGTTTCTCGGAAATCAATCCCATGACATCTAAGTCAATTTTCGTCTATCTGGTCTGGAAGTGTGTTTTTCCTGTTAAAACACTCCAAATTGCAGCACCCTGTACATACTAAACTGCTGGACACTCGAACTTTCACATATACAGATTTTTAGAGCAAATTCAAAATTCCATATTTTCGACATGAATAAAGTTTTTTTTTAACGCGGTTTGTGGATTTAAATAGCTTGTTTTTTGCGGATAAAGCTTGACGTAAATTTCTCATAGGACCATATAGCCGGAGAGCCAGCGCCGAAAAAATTCTCTGAATTTACTAAAGCCAGTTTTTGGTCAGTTGATTACAGTATTTACGTACATAAACATACCTCGGTCAGTCAAGCGAAACTTGGGACAAGGACCTAGGGTGTCTGGTTAAAGTTGTCGAGATAGCTAGGTAATGCAACGAATTTACTAAGGTTGAAAATCGCTATACATATTATATATAACACATAAATAACAGTGATGTTTGTCAGTCAGTTGAATAGCGGAACTGGACCGGTCATTCAGCCCCATTGAGGTAGTTATTGGTTCAACCCCAATCCAATTTATATACAAAAATAATAGGTCTATTTTTTTTTAGTGACAATTCAAAATTGTAGGTTGAAGTTTAAATTAATATAGTTGGGGAGCTGGCGTCAAAAACATGCAAGAGTTTTCGCAAGGCGGATATTTTCAAAATAGGTCGTACTTAAGTGCTAGAATGCTAGTGTACAGTCAGCACTCACAGTTCCGGGACAGCTGGCTCTGGGACGCGGGCAAAGTTGTAATTTTAAGAAGCATCTAAACTGTTTTCTCAAAGCTCAAAATTTATAGAAATTTTGCACATTATCTGTTTAAAGGTCACAGATAACGTATGTAAATCGTCAGACGTCTAGTTCGTTGCAAAAAGGGGGTCAGACGACCTCAAAGTTTTTATTTTATGGCATTTTCTTCGGTTTCCTGTCAAAATATATTTTTGCAGGTATTTGACAAATATATTTGAAGAAAATGCCATAAAATAAAAACTTTGAGGACGTCTGACCCCCTTTTTGCAACGAACTAGACGTCTGACGATTTACATACGCTATCTGTGACCTTCAAACAGATAATGTGCAAAATTTCTATAAATTTTGAGCTTTGAGAAAACAGTTTAGATGCTTCTTAAAATTACAACTTTGCCCGCGTCCCAGAGCCAGCTGTCCCGGAACTGAGAGTGCTGACTGTACACTAGCATTCTAGCACTAAAGTACGACCTATTTTGAAAATATCCGCCTTGCGAAAACTCTTGCATGTTTTTGACGCCACCTCCTGGACTAATAGGTTTGTTCAGTAATATTAATATTTTTTGCAGATTTTTACATTTATTGGGGCTGACTGACCAGCACGGTCCCGCTATTCAACTGACTGACTAACACTACTGTTATTTATATGTTGCATATAATATGTATAACGATTTTCAGCTTTAGTAAATTCGTTGCATTACCCAAGTTATCTCGACACCTTTAACAAGACACCCTGGGTCCTTGTCCCAAGTTTCGCTTGACTGACCGCGGTATGTTTATGTACGTAAATACTGTAATCAAGTGTCCAAAAACTAGCTTTAGTAAATTCAGAGAATTTTTTCGGAGCTGGCTCTTAGACTAATAGGGTTACGATATACGGGGCGATAAAATTCAGTTTTGCTTTAAAATTTCTATGTGTAAGTTCAAGTGTCCAGCAGTTTATATGAGAAACTTTTTGTAATTCATAATATTAGTTTTTTAGATCCTAAGATAAGAACCGCTTATCTGAACTTCACAGAACAGCATCATGAATCATGACTTTTTCAAACAATATCTCTTCAAAAAATACATTTTGCCACAATTAACCTTGGGATAGTGGCGTCAAATTTTTAAAAGTGAGTGGTCGCGTCGGTCTCACAGATCGTACAACTTAATTAACCCCCAAATAAAAAGCGGAATATACTTTTCAAAAAATACATGTAGGGATATTTTAACAAACACAAATAAATGATTAGGAAAAGAAAATGGAGTACATTTGGCCAATTTGTCCAAATATACCACAAAATCTTTGAAAATGGTGATTTTTTTTATTACTGCAATTTATTTAGTCACATAATACAGAAAATAAAAACAGGATATAATACGAATAGTAAAATAAAGTAAAATATAACTTTTTTTACCATTAAAAAAAGTTAAACAAACATGTTCAAACTTAGTGCACTCTTGACAAACTCCAATGATATGCTTTAAGCACAATATACACCGTAGGACGAAATATTTTCGGCAAAACAACCACTTCCAACACTCCCATTAGCACCGCTGTTCTGTCGTGACCCATTGAGAAGATAGATAGAGGGGGAGGTAGCTCCTACCTCTATTTCCAGAATACCGTAAAATAAAGTGTATGGTCGGTCTCACATACCGGGCGCGACTAACGGAAGTAATCCTATGGAATCTAGAATATTTTGTGATTATTCTCATATGCGCAAAAAGCCTTATGTTAACCCTTTCATGCTCAAATCAAACATTTCAAATTCAATACAGATCTGATTTATTCTTGGATTCAAAATATGATGGAGGCTTTGAAGTTTATTGAAAAGAAAGTAATATTTTTATTCCTTAGAACTCTTAGAAGATTAGTCACCTAAGTATTTTCCTTATAGTAACATTTATTTCGAGATTTTAGTTCTTCTACACTCCACATTAGGAACGACAATTATTATAAGTGAGTGAATGTCATAAACTGAACTAGATTAGGTTCTAAACTAGAAGTAACGGCAATTACCTGGATTGCACTTCAGGGGTCTTAGAATTATAGTTGAGTTTACACCTATAAAAAAAGCAGAAGTAAGGTTTCCTAAGAGATTGAAAGTTTCAAATCCATGATGCCTACAGACTACTCTGATTTAAACCGTTTCTTGCTATTCTGGCGAACTTGTGAATTCCAATAATCTCCTCACATTCTCAATAAAAATTATTATTATGAAACAAAAATTTGATCTGTTTCTTGTAATGTTCAATGCCCTGTGAGAATTATGGTATAAGAGTCGATAGATTTGTATTATTAAGTAAATAAAAAAGTTAGCTTTTTCCTAGCTCTTATTTCTCATTTTTTGTTCTGTTTCAGGTGGACCAATATTATTCAACACTGCCGTCCGAAGAAGTGCCTAAACTAGGATCTAAGGGTGAAACGATACGATCACAACGAATAGTTAAGCAATTACCTAAGCAAGATCTATCATTAAGCGCTTGTAAATTTGTAGAACAGGAATACGCAACTAGCTATGAGGTATGGTATAGTGACCTAAAAATTAGATTTGATAATATTATGTGTATTCTAGGAAAATCCAAATTAACAATTTTATTTGTAGGGTTTTATGTCAAAGATAAAGATAGTATATGTTAATAGGACTGCTTTTATAAAAATAGGAAGTTTTAGAAGAAAATAAACCATAGAGGATAAGGCTCTCAACCTTAAACATCACAATGAAGAAGAGAGCAGGAAGAACTACAAATATGGCAGAAGGTATAATTTTCAACGCAGAAGAAGAGCAAAATTAGGACAATCCTTATGACAATGATGATCACCTTCTTCCTACATTACAAGGATTGTAGCAACCAATAGCAAAATATTTCGGCAAAATATTTGGAATCAACGTCAAAACCTCCCTTGTGGAGGCAAAGTTGCAAAATTCTTTTTGAAAGAGTAGCGATTATATCCAGGATCCGCATGAAGACACACACTCAGAACCTCGTCTTTGATCAGTAGGATAAAATATGTTTACCAAGTTAGGAAAGTTGGAAAGTTTAATTAAACTATTAGCAACTGAGCAGTTCAATAAGTAAGCGTCTAAATTAACATCCGGCCATTTCCCAGATCCTTCAGCTCAGATTCTTGCTGCTTGTTATTGGACTTCAGGAATCATCTTAAGTAGTACATACATAGTGTGTACATGGTTGTACTTGAAAATATAGGATTCCAACCAAGTGGGGCTTGGGTATGTTAGAAATCTATGGTTAGAGGCAGAAATACGAATATCAGAGGTCAACCATCTTTTCCCCCTTGCGCTTTGATTTCAGACGATACACAGGAAAAGTTTCATGTTGCATTTTGAAGAACAGAAGGCTAACTGAACGATTTGCATACTTGATAAGAAGATCGAAAACCTTATATATGATATATCAACTCAAATGAAAAATTTCTTTATTGTCCATAAAAATAAGAACAATTTTAAATTTCACCTACGTTAAAAATATGTTCACAAGGTGTCCCCAAAGAATTCTTCAATATTATAATTAGCTTAAGTTAAGAGTAACTCACTCTCTTTCTAAACCTCCCATATGAACGTGAAGACCTAATGCAAGATGGTGAAAATTGAAGACTTTCTTAGCAAAATAAACATAAGACTTTTTCACCAGGTGCTTTTGGGATTTGGCAGTGAAATTAGCTTGCCTAGTGAAATAGTGAATTACCAAAGAAAGTTGGTCATAGTATTTCCTATAAACCAGGAGAACACTTTGAGTATGTATAAGCATAGCACAGTTAAAACTCTATCAGAAATGAAGCTAGGTTTGTAAAATTGTCGGAAGGCAGCATAAACCTATGGGCTCTTCTTTGTGAAATAAATATGGAGTTGAAATTAGTAGTACTGCAACAACCCCAAAATGTAATGTGTGTGACCAGAGAAACATATGTGGTTCTGAAAGCTCGCAGCTCTAACTGCTCTGAGAGTACTCTCAAAGCATAACAGCTAGATAAAAACCTACAAGATGCTTCTCAAAGTTGATACTCTTGTCCACTGTAGTCCAAGAAACTTAGCACAAGCACAGGCGGTGGGATAAGTAAAATCACCACAAAGGAGATGTTGGATAATGAGCATTTAAAGTTCAACATATTGGTCTTAGATATGTAGAAGGATAGATTGTTGCTGTTGTACCAGGTTTTTATCAAATCTAAATCGCCATTTGTTATGCGTTTCAAGAATTCTCTACTATTGGCATACCAAACAATGGACATGTCATCAGTCATCAAAGAGTCATCAAAGAGTCTAATACTTCCTCCGACCCTAAGAGAAGCTAGATCATTAATATAGAACAAGAAAAAAAAGGGGTCAAGGATAGAGCCCTAAGGCACTTGCTAATTTTATCCGAAAACCCGCTCCTATATGAAAATACCTACTGACGATCGCTTAAGGACGACTGAAACTAATTTAGAGTCAAACCTCTAAAATCATATACTTCAAGCTTACGGAGCAACACAAGATGATCGACGCAGTCGAAAGCCTTCGACAAGTCACAAAACACCGCTACTGAAAGGTGATTCTCATTTGTACTCAAATAGATATCTACTAGAAGGGAGAATATCGCATCCTTGTTCCTTTGCCACACTGGAAACCAAATTGATTATCGGAGAGGGACCTGTTTAGATTGAGGAATGAAAAAACTCTAATTTTGACCAGTTTCTCAATCAGCTTACCAAGTGAAGGAAAAAGAAAAATAGGGCGGAAATTTGCTGCAGAGTCTGCCTCTTTGTGAAGAGGTACCTACGACCACTGCATGCTCAAGAATAATAGGAAATATACCCTTATCAAAGGAATCATTTATTGCATCTACAAGCGTACAAAAACTCCTATCCTCAACATGTAAAATGCCACCATGAAAACGTTTTCTTCGAGTCCCTGGGGCCACAAACATAGTATATTTGCAATTTTTATTTTGTAAATATTGGCCTTGGTGGGTCACATACATCCACCAATCAATAGGTCAAGTTTAGGAAAATGTTGCTAAAACACTTACAAACACATTTCCATAAGAAATACATGCGGACGGTGGTTAACTGCGATGCACCACAGCCAAATACATATTATATGTTATCCCCCAATAGCGAATGTTAGTGGTGGTTTAGTTGGACCCACCATGACACTTTACATGTTAAGATGGAGTAATAGTTTAATGGATATGTCATCATAACCCAAGGAATTTTTGTTCTTGAAGGTTATAAGGGTTTCTTTGATATCAGGAACATCGACTGGTGTCAAGAAGAAGGAATCTGAGACATTATTGTCTGTCAAATAGTCTAAGGGATTGGCCCGAGAGTCTAAGAGTTAGAGACAATATAGTTTATTCTAGTGGATGAAATATGAGGGACACTAGTAAAACGGTAAACATGTATGCCAAAAAGGATGCACTCCTTCGGTCCCCAAAATCAATGTTGAGATTACCAGAAAGTACATACAAGCCTATGAACCAAAGGAAATGCGGAAAATAGGATCTCAATTCTCACCAAGAACAAAACCACATTACAATATCAGAACAAAACCACATTACAATATCTTTCTGAGATACCATTTGATTGGTGTTAATATGGACTCAACATAGGCGAAGTTAATATGGACTCAACATACCCAAGCCCCAACCAAGTGGGGCTTGGGTATGTTAGAAATCTATGGTTAGAGGCAGAAATACGAATATCAGAGGTCAACCATCTTTTCCCCCTTGCGCTTTGATTTCAGACGATACACAGGAAAAGTTTCATGTTGCATTTTGAAGAACAGAAGGCTAACTGAACGATTTGCATACTTGATAAGAAGATCGAAAACCTTATATATGATATATCAACTCAAATGAAAAATTTCTTTATTGTCCAGAAAAATAAGAACAATTTTAAATTTCACCTACGTTAAAAATATGTTCACAAGGTGTCCCCAAAGAATTCTTCAATATTATAATAAGCTTAAGTTAAGAGTAACTCACTCTCTTTCTAAACCTCCCATATGAACGTGAAGACCTAATGCAAGATGGTGAAAATTGAAGACTTTCTTAGCAAAATAAACATAAGACTTTTTCACCAGGTGCTTTTGGGATTTGGCAGTGGAATTAGCTTGCCTCGTGAAATAGTGAATTACCAAAGAAAGTTGGTCATAGTATTTCCTATAAACCAGGAGAACACTTTGAGTATGTATAAGCATAGCACAGTTAAAATTCTATCAGAAATAAAGCTAGGTTTGTAAAATTGTCGGAAGGCAGCATAAACCTATGGGCTCTTCTTTGTGAAATAAATATGGAGTTGAAATTAGTAGTACTGCAACAACCCCAAAATGTAATGTGTGTGACCAGAGAAACATATGTGGTTCTGAAAGCTCGCAGCTCTAACTGCTCTGAGAGTACTCTCAAAGCATAACAGCTAGATAAAAACCTACAAGATGCTTCTCAAAGTTGATACTCTTGTCCACTGTAGTCCAAGAAACTTAGCACAAGCACAGGCGGTGGGATAAGTAAAATCCCCACAAAGGAGATGTTGGATAATGAGCATTTAAAGTTCAACATATTGGTCTTAGATATGTAGAAGGATAGATTGTTGCTGTTGTACCAGGTTTTTATCAAATCTAAATCGCCATTTGTTATGCGTTTCAAGAATTCTCTACTATTGGCATACCAAACAATGGACATGTCATCAGCAAAGAGTCTAATACTTCCTCCGACCCTAAGAGAAGCTAGATCATTAATATAGAACAAGAAAAAAAAGGGGTCAAGGATAGAGCCCTAAGGCACTTGCTAATTTTATCTGAAAACCCGCTCCTATATGAAAATACCTACTGACGATCGCTTAAGGACGACTGAAACTAATTTAGAGTCAAACCTCTAAAATCATATACTTCAAGCTTACGGAGCAACACAAGATGATCGACGCAGTCGAAAGCCTTCGACAAGTCACAAAACACCGCTACTGAAAGGTGATTCTCATTTGTACTCAAATAGATATCTACTAGAAGGGAGAATATCGCATCCTTGTTCCTTTGCCACACTGGAAACCAAATTGATTATCGGAGAGGGACCTGTTTAGATTGAGGAATGAAAAAACTCTAATTTTGACCAGTTTCTCAATCAGCTTACCAAGTGAAGGAAAAAGAAAAATAGGGCGGAAATTTGCTGCAGAGTCTGCCTCTTTGTGAAGAGGTACCTACGACCACTGCATGCTCAAGAATAATAGGAAATATACCCTTATCAAAGGAATCATTTATTGCATCTACAAGCGTACAAAAACTCCTATCCTCAACATGTAAAGTGCCACCATGAAAACGTTTTCTTCGAGTCCCTGGGGCCACAAACATAGTATATTTGCAATTTTTATTTTGTAAATATTGGCCTTGGTGGGTCACATACATCCACCAATCAATAGGTCAAGTTTAGGAAAATGTTGCTAAAACACTTACAAACACATTTCCATAAGAAATACATGCGGACGGTGGTTAACTGCGATGCACCACAGCCAAATACATATTATATGTTATCCCCCAATAGCGAATGTTAGTGGTGGTTTAGTTGGACCCACCATGACACTTTAAATGTTAAGATGGAGTAATAGTTTAATGGATATGTCATCATAACCCAAGGAATTTTTGTTCTTGAAGGTTATAAGGGTTTCTTTGATATCAGGAACATCGACTGGTGTCAAGAAGAAGGAATCTGAGACATTATTGTCTGTCAAATAGTCTAAGGGATTGGCCCGAGAGTCTGAGAGTTAGAGACAATATAGTCTATTCTAGTGGATGAAGTATGAGGGACACTAGTAAAACGGTAAACATGCATGCCAAAAAGGATGCACTCCTTCGGTCCCCGAAATCAATGTTGAGATTACCAGAAAGTACATACAAGCCTATGAACCAAAGGAAATGCGGAAAATAGGATCTCAATTCTCACCAAGAACAAAACCACATTACAATATCAGAACAAAACCACATTACAATATCTTTCTGAGATACCATTTGATTGGTGTTAATATGGACTCAACATAGGCGAAGAAAGCCAATGATAAAATATTTAAATTTCCTGTCAACAAGCAAGTCATCAAACCTGCCAGAAATTCTTAGGGAAACTTTTCGTTCACCATGCTCTTGATTTACCCTGCAGAATCAAGAAATACCTAAATACCTAAATGGAAGATACAGGGCGATTTCATCAATGTTCCGTTGATAACGCTTGATAAGGAAAACCCTAATCTTTCACAACAATAGAGAGGTTTTTAGTAAATTTACTAGCAGTAGTGAAATGTCTAGTAAGTAGCAGGAAAAGAGTTGTCAAAAACATTTATATAAGGCCGAGCATAAGGCGAAACAAAAACGTTACTATACCCAGATTAAGATAGAGAGCAGGAGAAGTATTGGGATACCTCTTAAGAGATGGAGTAATGCCATCCAGAAGATTGCTGAAAGAAACTAAATGACAGCTATGGACATTCAGGAGATGATGAGAACATGCTAATAAGCAGAGATAGTCCCAGAATGATAGGGGAAACAAACAACAATATGAAATATCAGAGATTTCCGCATATTATAAAAGATTTATTATTAATATTGTAAAGAACAGCTGACATGCTTTGGGTTGTAAATGAAAACGGCACTTGATACCATAGATAAAACTTTCAGCTGCATGAAAAACTGAAATGATCCTAACATCAATTTGAAATATAGCTAAAAGATTCTGCTGGAATTTTTATGCCTCAATGTCAGCCATTACCCAAATGGGTGAAGAAAGTGTGGTATCTTCCATTGATGAAGATTTAAAGGTTGTAAATGTAAGAGGGTTCAGAAGGTATATTCTGTTCAGTATGACTATAGAGCTAAAATGATGACTTCATCAGGAAATATCAAGACAATACTTGGGCTAAAAATTGTTATTCGAGCTTTAGAGAATAAGAAAACTTGCTGACATAATAACTCAGTTTAACTAAAATCAATATGCTGATTTTCCTATTTATTTTTTTACAGGATTTCGTGTCGGGTCGCAACCAAGTGGCACTGGACGTGGGCGTGGCGAAATCGGCACCTCCAAACAGCGTCTGTAAAAGTTGCGATCGTCCCTGGTCAGCTCAGCAGATAGTCGTCTCAGCGCCAAGGCTCGGTCAAATGGTTTGGCATCCTGGCTGTTTCAAATGCTCCGAATGCGACGATCTGTTGGTCGACTTGGCTTACTGCGTTTACAACGACAAACTCTTTTGCGAAAGGCATTACGCTGAAAAGATGAAGCCTCGGTGTGCTGGCTGTGACGAGGTAAGAATCTTTTTTTGTAATAGTTGATATTGCTGACAAGTTAGAGCATTTGAATGGGTCAAAGCGAGATTTTAAAGTTACCGAACTTTTAAGTTGTTCAACGAATGTTATATTTTACAAATTGACCCAACTTCAAAGTGCATACTAAATTGATATTATAATCACAATATTCCTTACTATCTCTATACAGCAAAACGTTATATGTTGTTACTTTATAGGGACTCAGTTTCGTTCATTGGTTTCTGCTTATTCAACAATAATTTTACGTATGGAAATTTTTGTGTACTGGTGACAATAAGGTATTTTAATTTAAGTCTAACTTTACATCTTGATCAATGCTATTAGGACTGTAATATATTCATTAGAATATTTCTATACCAGAAAACTGTAGTTTACTCCACTAGTGGGTCTCATACGTATACTTTGCGCGTACAAAGCAGAAAGGCGAATGCGCTAGTAAACCTGAGAAACGTTTTATTTATAATCCATATTGGTGGAACTTTAGTCAGCTGAAAATAGATGTCAGTCTGAATCTGTGTGCTAATATTTTTTTAAATAGTAATTTTAGGTAAGTATTCAATCCAGTATATCCAGTATAGCTACTAGACTGACATCACTTGATCTCAAAATCAGGATTAGTAAAAGGGCAGCACAATTTTACAGCAACTTTTCCTAAACAAAGTTGATTTTATGTAGGTATGGCACTGGGGAAAATGATACGCGTGGCTACTTTAAGTAGATATGGTACTTTAAGTAATTGATAATAAGTACTTCAAATAAATGATACTTACGGTAAATGTACCTCAAGTAAAATTGATTTATTTTTAAAATATTGTAACAAGCACTTTCAAATTCTGTGAGAATTTCATTACGGATTTCTATTTTTTCTATGTTCTTTTTATCATTTTGCATCTAAATGTGATGTGTAAATTACTATGTACAACACCAGTATACTTACCTGTTTTCACTGTTTACCCTAAAATACTTAACATCATAACAAATCATACAATCTGTGAGTCTAGTCTCTGTTAAACGCTTCCAAATTTATTCATCAGATTTGGAAACCAGACTTTAATATAGACATTCATTTAAAATCAGCGATTTATGATTTATATTTTCGTTTATTTTAAGTTTCATTGAGTAATCTGGAACAAGCAGCCTGACTCTGGCATTAAGTAGTTATTGCTAAATCGTTTTATAATATATTCGGAGTTTATTTTTAAAACACGCAAAGGCCAGGCCGCTTTTGCAATAATATTGTCACTTCGTAATTTGTTCCTGTCATTTCTTATTATTGTGAAATAACATCTATTTGTCTTCTGGATTGAAATCTACAAAAAAAAAATAGACTTTTTTAAACCAGTAAACAAAAGTAAGGGCATCTTTCATTAGTGCTTACCCAAAAGTATATTTTCAGCAAAATTATGAAATCGTGTGCAAAATAAACAAGAGATCAGATTACCACTAGTCATCAAATTGTTCAAACGTCAATGGATCGTAAATCATTGAGAAAAGAACGAATTTGAGAACCTTTTCGCGTTTATGTGTGAATTTTTAGTGCCAATAGACATAAAAAATATACTGTCAACTAATAAAACAATTCTATTTTTACTTTTTATTGTCGAAAAATTCCAAATGTTGCATTTTGGAATAGGTATACCTAAGTATAGTTTTTCTGTGATTTATCTAATAACTTAATAATCAACCCATGTGATGATGATGCATGTTATGAGAAAGTTTAAGAGTAGGTACTTTGTGACTTTCTTGAAACCACATGTTAGTTAGAGTATATTGAATTTTGAGAAGAAATTTTGGAATTTCATGAGGAAGTTTCATAAACTGCAACCTATTGTAGTATAACATACCCGGGTTCGTTCAGCAAGATTGAACGGTGATTTTTTATTACCTTTTAAACAACAAATCTTTTGAAAAACGAAATAGAAAACAAATACCTAGGACCTACGTTGTGAAAACTTACTCAATTTTACTTACTTGACATGCGCCCGACATAGCCAAATTAAGACTTTTTAAGGGAAGTTGTGATATATAAAAGAAAGGAAAAATTTGTGAAGCGTATATTTTATTATTAAAGTAAATCGTACCGTTTTCGACCTGGAATTCTTGAGGGGAAAGAGAACGACAGAGAAACGCTCGATCGAACATGCCTCAAAAATCAAAACATAATGTGTCATTTTAATGATTAATTGTAAGTCAATAATTAAGAATTTAAGTCAATGTTTCAATAATTTAAGTCAACAATAAAAGTTTTAAATTAGGTACCTACCGCTCCCGTGCTTGTGCTAAATTTTTAATTCCACACACTACATTCAATAAACACCACCTTATATTCAATACTGAAGTTTTTGGTTAGGTAATCTCATCTGCCGGCAGGTACTGAGGTCCCTGGTTACAGGAGACTACTCAGCTATAGTTGTTATTTTGAGCCAATATCTCTAGATTGATTTTTCAGTTTGTTTGCCAGAATATTCATTCGTCAAGGTAGGAAAATGTTAGTAAATTCGCCCTAATGCGCTTTCTGAATACCCAAAAATCAAAATCCCAGCACAAAAGACAGCACATACTTTTTCTAGGTTTTAATTTACTCTTTATCTGCATTGTTTAACCTGTTCACAGCATGAAACCATTTTTGTTAAATACATGAACAATGCACATGCTATAAAAAATGTTATGAACAAACAAAAAACATAAAAATGAAAAAAAAATAAAATACTTGTATAAATTGAACTTTCAAAAACAAAATAACAATAATTATTCAACTGACCTGTGATTGCTTCTTTTGACACACAAACTAATCACAAATTGTATTGAATAATCAGTTTAAAACAAAATTAAAATTAAAATTGAATCATGAACAATGGCAGACAAGCGCCTAAGGGACCATCTACCTACCCTTTCGGTACGCTTCTCGTTGCGGCGCGCCCCGTTCCCATAAACTTTACGGCGCATTACATCGTTGCAACATTTACTTTTATTCAGTAGACGTTTTTTTTTTTTAAGTTAAGCTCATTATCCTTTCTTTGGGTTGTTCTTGAGTTATTGTAGACTGCTGGCTGATGTTCAAGATTGAGTACCAGAAAGAATTAAACAATATCACGTTCAGCGAATTTGAACTCTTTGATTCCCGAATTCTGTTCAGGCAGTTTCTTATTGTTGATTGTTTTCTAGAGGATTGCTTACTAGGGAAAGGCCCTGCCTTCAAATTTCAGTGTATCTTTCGGTGTGAATTCATCGATAGTGATAGAATTAAGGTTTATTTCCGTCTGTAACAGGTATTTTCTTTGTGGAAACAAGATCCTTTGTTGAGCCCGATTTATGGGAGGTGCTGCATGATAACTAGCCTGGTCATAACTATGTACCTACTGATTTCGTAAACCATTTCAATGTAAAAATTACTACTGTTGTGCAAGCCTTATTTACGAAGGTTGCTTAACTTCTATATTATTATTTATTCAACATGAAAAAAAAAAAGAAGGAACAAATTCCTGAAACTAGAGAGATAGGTCAGTTATTTAATTTGATTTACCATGACGGACTTTTCAAATTAAATTATATTGATTCCTAAATTAAATCAAATGGCTGTTAGAACCCACCTTTAATTTTTTTTCTCATGACGCACTACATTTAGTTTTACCTGGCAACAGCGCATTCAAAACTTTAAGTCAGCGGCCACCGAAAAAGCTGTTCGTGCTTTGTCGATGGAGTCTTCTCAAATTTGATTGGTAGGAGATGAGCCTGAGTCTGGCGCGTTTTAAGAATTTTAAATTTTTCAATTTTTGAAATGTTTGTACAAAACGCATTTAAGCCCGTAAATCATTTTTTTGTTGTTGGCAAATTGACAAACCAAGATGTAGTTTATGAATCTAGAAATGAAGTAATCCGCCATCGGCGCCATCCAAAAGATCAGAGGCTGAAGACCACTTGCACTCTTACATTTGGAACAAAATTTAAAATCATCTCACCATAGTCATCTCCAATGGCTATTAGGTAAACCATTTCCTTATACAGCCTTCCATAGTAGATCCAGCGGACAAGTGATTCAAGGAGACAAAGCGCAGTAATAGTCAATGAATGAATTACTTGGAGAAGATGAGAGAATTAGTGGAGAAAATCATGAAAATCAACTGAAAGAAAATCAAGACAACAATGATGACACGCTCGTCAAGAAGAACTTATCATGGGAATCGCGGATAATGAAAAAACGTTCATTACTTCAAAAACCAAGGCTCATATTAAATACTTATGTATTATAAACGTTTGGCTTATGTCGTCAAAACATGGCAATACATGTTTCCGCCAAGAGTTCTCAATGGATTCTAAATTTATGTGCTCACAAAAAATTCACTTGTATCACTGTCATAACCCTCCTCTTCCTTAAGTTCATACAATTCTCAATGCGGCCTGCCTTCTCCTTTTCAGCTCGGTTTTTCTTAATGCAAAAAATCACATGTTTTACCATAAGCAAGGCAATTGCCTTTTTTATGTGTATGTCCACAAAATTTGCATTCAAATTACGATTTAAATAATGTACTGCCTTTTAAGACTCCTGTTTGCTACCCAGGGATCTATAATTATTGTTATTCGAATTGGAATTGCTGCGGCTACTTATAACATTTATGTTACTTTCTTCTTTCAATGCTTGGGCTTGAAGTTTGCTTGCTTCAATGTTTCTGCAAAAAATAATTGTTTTTTCCAAATTTCAATTTGATTCATGAAGTAACCTTTTCTGGGTACCTTTGTCCAGAATTTCCATAACTATTCTGTCGCTAACCATTTCGTCCTGTTCTGTATACTCTGTGGTTTTGACACCCTTTCTAAGCTCTGTTAAAAAGCTTTCAATTTTTTTCACCCCTTTTTTGCAGGATTGAATTAAATTTGATAAAGACAGAGCAATCGTTCTCTTGAGAACGCTGTTTCTCGGTTACGAGAATACGGGCCCTGAATCCTTATTCTTGAAACAGGGGAGCAGCGTTCCCAGGAGAACGAGCGTTCCGTCTTTGTTACCTATA